AGCCATCAAATGCTGAAGGAATTGGTTAAAAAGTGTTTTACTGTCTCAAATCCAGGGCTCTGACCTGGCCCTTAAACCCAGACTTGTTCCTTAAGCTCAGTTTTCTTTATTTAACTCTGTATTTTTATTATCTTCCTCTGAAGAGCCTTTGGAAGATTCCACACACGTTTAAACCTCACATAGAATTGGGATTTCTCCTCTTCTTGTTTGGCTTCCAAAGTGCCAGTTTTTCTTCCTTCACTGGCTGCAAAATTCCATTAAAAATTCCCCAAATGGACATTGTGAGCTCATGAGTGGTTTGAAAATAAAATGATCCCATTTTCCAAAATGTTTGCCTTCTCTTAGTCACATCATTGAATTGAAGCACATTGCCATGACTCCCGTGCAAAAACTGAGTTCTCCTTAAAATCAAAATTAGATGGAGCTGGGCCCAAGTTTCAGAGTTACAAGATGATTTCTCTTTTTAATTTTATTACAACATTACCTAAAACTAACATTTATCCTAAGAATTGGTTGGTTTGACATGTTTTTATTTGGTGGAGGAATAAAAAGACAATTTCTTTATTTTTTCTGTTGGCTGGTCATGACGAGGAGCAAAATTTCATGTCAAAAATGGGGATAATTCTTAGCAGGAGTGGGATTTGCCAGTGCCTGTGGGTGGGAATATTGTGATTCCTTGCTCTTGTGAGGGAAGCTGAGCAAGAGTGAGGCTCTCCCTGAGGGACTTTGTGACAAATTCTGGATAAAGTTGCAAAGAAGGAGCTTTGTGAGGGTGGTCCAGGAGCTGCTGTGGGGTTTGCACTGCAGGAAATGCAGCAGTTAACAGCAAAACTCAGCTTGTTTAGCTGCTGCCCCACGCAGAGCCTGCACCTGCAGCCACCAAAGCTGAGCTTTGCTTGGCAGTCCCAGGCTCACACACCTCTGCTCTCTCTCCTAAGGTCAGCTGTGCCTTGTCATTTTTCCTGTTCTCCTTTCAAGTCCATGAAAAATCCATTCTTCTCGTGTCAGTGTAAGTAAAGAACTTTTCTGTGGATAAAATTTCATCTTTTCCTCATCTTATTGCACGCTGCTTTCACTTGCAAATAGATCAGATTTTAACGACTGCACATTTGCTTTTCTGCCTCACTTGTAAATGAAGGTGTGTGGGCACAGCCAGGCTGGTGTGTCCTTTCAGTGCTGGCTGTGGGGACAGTCACCAGCCCTGCTGTTCCCTGGGGATACCCTACAGGCACTGGGAGTGCTCTTTGATTAGGGAATGGTTGAGTTCTCTTTTTCTTCCTCTCATTCTAGCCCAGTCTGCTTAATCATAAATGAAATCCCCTTCATGGCCACGTGGTTTCTACTTGTGTCAACTTTCAGGTGAGTTGGGAAAGCTGTTAACAGAGCTGGAAAGGGACTGGGGACAAGGGATGGAGGGACAGGACACAGGGAATGGCTCCCAGTGCCAGAGGGCAGGGATGGATGGGACATTGGGGAGGAATTGTTTCCTGGGAGGGTGGGCAGGCCCTGGCACAGGTGCCCAGAGCAGCTGGGGCTGCCCCTGGATCCCTGGCAGTGCCCAAGGCCAGGCTGGAGCCCCCTGGGACAGTGGGAGGTGTCAGGGTTGAAATAGGATGAGCTTTAAGGTCTCTTCCAACCCAAACCCATCTGTGATTCCATGAGAACCCTGTTCTGCCCCAGTTCTAGTAAGGATAAATGATTTACTGGTTTTCCCTCCTGTCCCTGCCTGCTGTGCCTGCCCTGCCGTGTCCCAGCCTGCTGCCCCTGCTGCTGAAGGACGAGCTGCTGCTGCCCTACGCCGTCACCACGCCCGCCTTCCTGGCCGTGTGCCTGGCCTCCTTCTCCATCCTGGAGAAGACCTCGGCCGAGGACCTGCAGCTCAAGGCCTTTTCCCTTTCCCTCAAGGGTTATGTGTCCTGGTTTAAGTCCTTTCCCAGGATTGTCAGGAGCCTGGTAAGCAAATTTGATTCCTTTACCTCTTCCTTGCAGCTTTTCCCAGCCCTGAAGTACCAGTGCAGGGGGGCCTATCCCGTTTCTGTGCCACGGGGGAGCGTGCAGAGCACCCAGCAGCGAGGGGGCAGCCGGGCTGGCTGAGGTGCTCCACGGCTCCACCCCTCGTTGTGTTGCAGTTCCTGCTGTCCCTGGCCCTGATGGGAGCACTCTCAGTGCTCAGCGCTGCCGCGCCTCCTCCCCAGCGCCTGCCTGATCTGTTCCCCCTGGCCGTGGCCCTGGTGTCCTGCCTGCACTTCCTGCTCTTCCTGCTCTACTTCAACGTGGTGATCCTCTGGGACTCCAAGAATAGAGGGCAGAAGAAAATCAGTTAATGGAGGAGCTGAAGCTGCAGGACTGAGGGTGCTCAGTGAGAGGTGCCAGCGCTGCAGAGGAGCCTGTGTGTGATGGACACAACTCAAGGAAAGCCAGGAAAAACCTTTTGCTTATTTAAACACAAAACAATCAAAGACTGTTTTAAAGGAGAAATATTTTGAAGAGCATTGGGAATGGGATTTGATTTGTTTTTTTTGGAAGTGTCATACTTTTGTTACCATTTGTAAACCTAAAATGCTTAATAAAGGACCAAATTTTGAATTAATGCTAAAACACTGTATTAGCAAAAGCAGCATGAAGTTTTCTCCTTTCCCAGCATAAAAAGCCCAAGGAAGTAGTGCAGGTAAAGTGTAAACTTGTGCCTGGCAGCACTGAAGTTGTGGTGCTGAATTGCTTTATGCCTGGTTTGTGGCATCAGTCACTGTCACAAACCAAACCTGGTTTGTGGCATCAGTCACCGTCCCCCTTTGCTGGGGGTCAGCTGCTCTGGTGTGGCTCTAAAACTGCTGCAAATCTCTTGAATACGACTGAAAAGCCAAAACTTTTGGTTCTACTGCAATAAAAGTGGAGGTGCTGCAGTGCAGTTTGCAAATACCCAAACCCCTTATTAAATTGCACAGCAATTTGGAGATGTAAACTGAACTCAACTCTGCAATTTCTCCCCAGGCACAGCTCAGCCTCCAAAGCCAATAATTCAGAAAATACAAATTGATTAATAATTATAAACATAACAAAGCATGGAGGAAGAAAATAAATCATAAAGCAATTTAGGGTTGTATAGTTTAATTAGGAGTCAGTCTACCCTTTTTTTCCTGTATCTATATATAAATATAGAAGAAGCCCCCCCTTGTTTAAAGGCTTCCCCTGTCACATTCCAGGCTGTCACTGCCCTCAGCCTCAGTGTGTGAATCAGCTGTTCTGGGAACTTCCAGCTGGGCCGGTCCTGAGCCCTGGCACTGCAGTCCCACAAGCTCAGTGTATTTGTGCACTTTTTTCCAGGCTTATTTGTTGTGGAAAAAATACCCCCAGGCAACACTGCCCCCCTGGCAGCTCAGAGGGAATGGAAAAGGGGCTCTGGAGAAGGAAATAGAAGCATGTTTGGTTTCCCTATACTGTTCCTTATAAAACAACAAAACTTCCATCTTTTCACAAGGATTTAGCATTTTCTAGGTCTGACTCTTAACTGTGGCATGCAAGAGCTCTGCCCACAGCACGGCCTTTCTGCAAGTGTGGGCTGAGGGGACAAAAAAGGAACACAAAATGGGAATCTTTGTCTCCAGAGGCTGTGAAACCCCAAACCCACCGTGCTGTCCCCGAGGAAGGGCTGCCTGAGGAAGGGCTGTACAGGACAGGAACATGAGGGTGGATGGGAGCAGAGGGGCCCGGCTCTCATTAGCCCCAGCAGAGCCCGGGCCGTCCTTCCCATAGCCAAACATTAGTTTTGGGTGTATCCCTTTCCTTTGTCCTTGAGGTGGCCTCAGGGGGTGATAAAGTGAGAGTCACCCGATCCACCTTGTGTGGAACTGGAAATGGTTCTTAACAGCCCCAGCTGCTTCAGAGGCCAGAGCCTGGTCCAGCAGGAGGTCAAAGACACAGGGCTCAAGGCTGGGCTGTGCATGGGGCCTGTCCTGCTCTGCTGTGCAGCTCCCATCTCCCTAGAAATGCCCGGTTTAGTATCAGCCGGGGGCAGTTCTGCTGAGCCTCGCTGCTGCTTTGCTCAGGGTTCCTGAACAGGTTTGATGCTGCTCTTCCAAGGCTGCCCAGAACAGCTGGATTTAGACCAGCACGGTTGGTTCCAGACTCTTCTCAGATCAGTAATTATTTAATTGCCAGCTCCAGAGGTTACAGAAACTCTGGCTGGCTCAGGGACCCTCAGCCTGCAAAGGCAGGGCTGGGGCACCTCACACACACACAACCACCCCAGCTGAAAGCCTGGCAGAGCAGGGGAAATGGGAACAGCTGCCACAATTCCCTCAAACACTTCCTAAGCTTCTTCCCACTCAAACTGCACAGGCAGTGAAGTGCAAAATCATTTTTATTAATTAAAATCTCCCAAACTTGAGCGTGTGCATGCTAAGCCACACCCTGAACACCTTTATCATGCTGGTGCTCAGAATTTTACTTGTAAAAATCAGTTTATTTGAGGATGGGACTTTGCAGTGGTAGAAAGGACATTCAAGTGTTTGTGTTTATGCTGGACTTTATTAAGAATAAATAGTTTTACTGCACTTTTTCAGGATTGAAATTGCAAGGATTTGAGAGGCAGGGGATTCACTTGGCTGTAGGGGTGAGGCTGAGGAGAAGGAAAGAGAAAAGCAGCTGGTTTATAAAAAAGGTTGGTTTATATAAAACAGCATTAAATGCCAAAACTAAACTCAAACGTTGACCTAAAAGCAAACGTTAGCAGAGCCCTGTGTGTTAGTGCTGGGTCAGAGGCTGAGGCCTCTTTACCCTGGGGCTGGGGTTGACTTTAGAGAAAGCCTCCTGTGGGTGACAGATCCGTCCCCAGCCATGGCAGCACCACCAGGGAAATGTTTGCAAACAACTCAAACACATCCAGGGTGGGAATAATGAACTGCTGGCACTGCAGGGCTCCCTCCAGCTCCAGAGGCCAGGCAGTGCTGGAGAAGCCCTGCAGAGCCCAGAGCACCACACAGCACCAGCCCCAGGGCTGCACAGCACCCGGGGTGGATTATTTACATTGAGATTATCTGCTTGTGCACATTGTTAAGTTGAAATAGATGCCAGAAATGTTATCTGGACGTGCACCTGCCCGGCACAGCGAGCGCTCCCCAGCTGGGATTTGCTGGGGAGATTGGTTTACACTCAGCTCTTCGCTCCTTTTAAGTCCAGTCCAGCAGATGGAGAAGTTTGGGTTGATGTGGAATGCATTTTTCACATAATGCCTGTGGGGAGATGAGGAATGACTAAAATAAATAGCAATTAGACAGCAGCATCATCGTGCATGGGATCTGTTTGGAGTTATGGATGTGGTGTCCAGTAAAACAGAGCCTCAGGCAAGGCAGGGCACCAACCCCTCTGCCTGGAGCTGCAGGGACATTTGGGGACGTTTTAAGGAACAAGGACAAGTGACCAAAGCAGCAACAAGTTGAGGAGAAACAGCACAGGATGTTACAGTGGAGGAGCAGAGCTTCTAGAGAAGCTCTTTGTCACAGCACTCCACAAACCAGGAACAACCCCAGGGGTGGAGAACACCTGATTCCCTCAGGGCAGCCTGCAGGAATCCCAGGGCTCTCTGCACAGCTTTACAAGAAGTACCTTGGTCCTGGTCACTCTGGCTGTGCCTTGGTGCTGGGTGTGGCCTGGAGCAGGCCCAGGGGCTCCTTCCTTCTGTCCAGGAATGAGGCGAGCAATGCAGCACCCCCAGCCTGGATGTGCTCTGTGAACAAGGAAAACACAGAAATGTAGTGTGTGATAGACAACAGGGGTGTGATGGCAGAATTTGTGCAAATCCTGCCTCACACACCAGTTAAATAATTGCTGTGGTGGTTAAAGAAGCCAGCACCCCTTTTCCTTCACCCACGGTGTCTCAGCAGGGATTTCAGAGCTTGTCCTGGTCAGTGGCTGCACCTGAGATCCATCACTGGCAGTGATGGCAAAGCAGAACTGAATGTGCTGCCAGGATGAGAAGCTGGTGCTGCCTTTTGCTATCAATAATAAAAGAATAAATAAGAATCCCCAAGGGCTGTGCCAGTAGAGCCCAATCAGGGATTGCAGCAGGGGAACTCCCACCCCTGGATCACCCACAGCCACCCCTGGATCACTCACAGGCACCCCTGGATCACCCAGAGCCATGCCAGAGTCACTCACAGCCACCCTTGGATCACCCACAACCATCCCAGAGTCACTCACAGCCACCCCTGGATCACCCACAGCCACCCCTGGATCACCCACAGCCACCCCTGGATCACTCCCAGCCACCCCTGGATCACCCAGAGCCACCCCTGGATCACCCAGAGCCATCCCTGGATCACCCAGAGCCACCCCTGGATCACCCACAGCCACCCCTGGATCACCCAGAGCCACCCCTGGATCACCCACAGCCACCCCTGGATCACTCACAGCCATCCCTGGATCACTCCCAGCCACCCCTGGATCACCCACACCTGGGGCTGCAGCTGGGCAGGGCCAGGCCAGGTGAGGGTGAGCAGGTGCCTGGGACAGGCACAGGAAAAGTGTGCAGGGACAGGAAGGAACTCAGGGGATGGGAACACGTGGGAAGGCTCTGGGAGCAGGTGCCTGTGAGTGCCAGGGTGCCAAATGTCCCTGCAGCAGATGAGCAGCTCTGCTGGACACCCCCAGGGCTGCTGGCTCTGGGCTGTTTGAGGGAGAATTCAGGATGGTGCTGAACACACAAAGGGCATTTCCAGCAGCCTGAGCCTCTCAGCTGCACAGAAACCCAGCTGGGGAGGGCAGCAGAGCCCACAGCCATGGGGCTGCTGGGGCAGGGCCTCCTCAGCTCTCCCCAGCTGGCACCCTGTGATCCCAGGGATCTCCCACTGCCAGGGAGTGACTCCACACCAGCACCTGCCCCTGGGCTAACCTGGAGCTGCCCTTGGACCACACAGGCACTAAAAGGGCTCAGTCTTCCCAAGTTTCCTTTCCCCTCCAAGTTCCCCCACCAGCCTCTCCCAACTTTGGCTGCTCTAAAGCATTTACAGATCTAAAAAGCAGAGAGAAAAAAAATGTTCACCTGTCGGGTGATATAAAACCAATCTTCTACTAAATGTGCCAGAATAATTTTTCTCCACCTCAACCACAGTTAAAACCTTCAGTCTATTCATTACTGTCTTTTTATAGTATTTTTATTTAATAAAACCTATTAAGACTACCATACAAATCTCTTTACTTATGCTTTTATCTTTTAACTGATCAATTTTTATATTGCTGACATCCCTTCTTCACCATTTGCTCATTTAAAAATTCATAGTATATGAGCTATGTCTCTGGAGAAAACGTCTATAAAATTTGTTACAGCTGGCAAATGTGTATGAGTCAGTGATAGCACATGACTAAATGCTTCACAGAAAATAAAATTTGTTTCTGTAGTAAGCAGAACTGTTTAAATGTTATTTATTTTTATGTTTCAAAGAAAATATATTGTGAAGTGCTGCATTGATTTAATACGCAGCAATGTCTGTGTACACGCTGTACTGGGGAAATTTATGAAACCTTTGCACAACTCCTTTAATTGAATTTTCCAAATCTCTCACCACACACAAATAATCAATATCTTCTGCAGAGAAAACCAGTCAGAATTATTACAGTCTTTCTTTTCAATTTTGTTGTCATCAGCACATACAGAGCACCTGGATATTTGTAATGTCTGGATAGCAAGTTATTTACACCTCTTAAACATATAATTGCTACTAAGTGAGTCCAAACTAATGTTTCTTTTCTTTTTTATTTAAAATAATTATATTCATGGGAGAAAGCAGTATTTATTCTCATGTAGGAGCTGCTACATGTTGGAAGAACTACAATTCTTGTGAATTTTTCATTAAGCTTAATACTCTAAACTAGATCCACCAGAATTAAAAATTCATAGCTGTTGCATCTCTAAAAAGGCACGTAGGAAAATAGAGTGTAAAAACAAGGGTGAAATCTGTGAATAAATGGGGCTGACACCTAAATCTAAAATGCAGGTTGACAGTTCTCTGTGTACTTGTCTGGGGCCTCCAGTCATATGTCTCATGTGCATTTCTGTATCTGCCACTGCAGTTAATGGCTTAATATTTCATCTGCATAGCCCAGGGTGCTCCATCACTGCAGAGCCCTGGAGCTGCCCCTCTCCCTCCTTCCATCCCAAAACCCCTCCTGCTGCTGGGCCCACACCCCAGACTCCTCCAGTCTCAGGCTGCTGGGAAAATTCAGGGTGGGTACAGCCCCACAGCCCCAAATCCTGCTGGGAAGGAGCAGTGGGGAGCTGCCCCAGCTCCTGGGGCTGGCAGGGGACAGGATTCCTCACCTGTGCTGGAAATGCAGCCTGGGGCACTGGGCTCAGTGGGATCTGTTCCCTCCTCTCCTCACCTGTACTGGAAATGCAGCCTGGGGCACTGGGCTCACTGGGATCTGTTCCCTCCTCTCCTCACCTGTACTGGAAATGCAGCCTGGGGCACTGGGCTCACTGGGATCTGTTCCCTCCTCTCCTCACCTGTACTGGAAATGCAGCCTGGGGCACTGGGCTCACTGGGATCTGTTCCCTCTCCCCCTCACCTGTACTGGAAATGCAGCCTGGGGCACTGGGCTCACTGGGATCTGTTCCCTCCCCATCTCACCTGTACTGGAAATGCAGCCTGGGGCACTGGGCTCACTGGGATCTGTTCTCTCTCCCCTCCTCTGGCAGGGACTCCCACGGGCACAAACTCAAACCCACAGAATGAGGAGACCTGAATTCAAATCTAGCCTGAGCACCAACAGCTTTTCCTGCCCAAGACACCAAGTGGGCAAACCACAATCCCCACTGAGTGAGGAGCTGAGATCAGCCCTGCCCAGGTGAGGTGGTAGGAAAGCCCCAGGAGCACAAACAGGGATGTTCTTCCACAGGGAAGGGCAGAGGAACCAGGCCAGATCCCTCCAGTGTTACAATTTTTGCTCAGCCAGTTCCCAGACTCAGTTCTCCCAGCAAAGGGACAATGGCATTTCTTCCCTGTAAGTACAAAGCTGGCCTGAGGAAAATAAATGTGGTGTTTAGGTTAGGGTTTTCCAGTTGGAAAAATCCACTGCTGTATTCCCCTTTCCCTCAGAAGATCTCCAAGGAGGAGGAAGAAAAGATGGGGCAGACACACAAGTACATCTAAAGGTCAACAAATCTGCTACACTGGACTTGAGAATGATGTGAAAATAAACCCCCAGCAACCACCAGAGCCAAGTGGTTCAGCCTTAGGACACCCAAATTCTGCACTCAAACTGCCACCAAATGGAATAAATGGTGGAATTCTGTATTTTTACCTTTTTACCAGGTTGAAGGAGGAGCTCTGATTATTAAGGATGTGTTTGTATTTTGCAGTGGTTGTGAAAGGGGATTTATGTTTTAAAATAAATACAGTTTCCAGAACTGGACTGGCAGGTGGAAACTCAGGAGTTTTGGTCCCTGATTTCTCAGCTTTGCTTTCATCAGTGATTTCAAGTGGCATGGAGTAAATTCCATGCACTGAGCCCTGATCAGTGTCCTGGAAAGCCACCACTACTGCCCCAGGAGCACCAAGCTCAGCCCCTTGTGTTCACCCCACCATGAAAGCTGGGAATGCTCAGAACTCAGAGAGGATCAGATTTGCCCCTGGGCTCAGCAGGATGAACAGCCCCACAGCAAAGGAAGTGTTTTTTATTTCATCATAGCCTGGCCAGAGTTTTCCTCAGCACTGCAAGTATTTGATCTCTGGAGCACTCCCATGGGCAGCAGCCATGGTTTGTGTCAGGGCTTTGGGGAGCAAAGTGTCCCTGTCCTTTGTCACAGTCAGCTGGAGCAGCTTCCCCTTTTAGGAACTTCACTCCTGGAATCTCCAAACCTATGAAATTTTCCTTCAAAATGTGCACATCCCAACCTGCACATCCATTCTCAGCACATTTTGGACTCCCAGACACCGACTCGATTCATCTCTTGGCAGTTGTTTTACAATTTGCTTACTTTTTGTTCAAAAACATTTTGTTTACTGTAAATTCGAGTCATGGGCAAACAATGATGCCCTTTTTCCATGCTGGTCACCCAAAATGATAAAGTGAGCTCTGCACAAGGCTGCCCATTGAGGCAGGAATGTTCTCTATGAAGTTGTTTTTAGAGGAGGTCGTTTATGTAAAGTAAATAAATTTCATGCCTCACCATGTGATGATAATGTGACATTCCATCTGGACCAAGCCACAGAACAGTCATAAGTTTTAAGCCTTGCCATAACTAATTAAAAATAATTATGAAAAACCCACATCTGAAACTAAAAGGCAAAGAAAAACATCTACAGATGCTTCTCTTTGATCACAAACTTCTCTGCCTCTCCCGCTACTGCATGTTCAAGACTGCAGAATTGAATTTATTCTTTGTGATAGCAAAGCTGACGTTGGAACTTCGTCAAAATCGCTCAGCTTAAACTCAGAATTCTCTTTTCCACTCTCCCTCCACAAAATATCTCTCACCTATGTGTGTTTGGGGCTCAGGGCTGCTTTCTGGAGCAGAGCTGGAGCTCCAGAGTGTGTGGTGAGCAGCAAGGAGCAGAGCACAAGGGCAGCAGTGAGTGCTGCCAGCCCTGGCTGCAGCAGGAGGACACAGGGGCTGTAAATCAGCACTTGCACCTGCTCAAATCAGCCCCATTCCCTCCCAAGGGCTGGAACTCCTTTCCATCTGCAGCTGATCTGCTGCAGCCCAGCAAATCCAAGCTTGATCAATTTTCTGTCCTTTAAGAGAATTCCCCACAGCAGAGATGCCTCCACTGCTCCTGGTTCTGGGGTTTGCTCTGCTTTCAGATGGAAAATGTGAAGGTAACAGAAATATCAGAATATCCCAGGGGAAGGTTGCTGTTTTTACTGAGTGTGAGGGAATTAAACTGTCCTGTGTGTGTCCCCTTCCCTCCTGCCCAGGCACTAAAGCAGCTGGGGATTGAACACCACCAGCTTCCAGTATTTCCACAGCGCTGGTCGTGAAGAAACCCCAGAGCTGGGATTCCACAGTGGGTGAAACACCCCACAAAATGCACAAAGGGAAAAAGGTTTTGCTGCAAGACTGTGACACTGAAAGCACAGTGGGAGGGAGGAGGATGAGGAAGAACAAGGATAATTGGGATCTACAAAAAGCATGGGAAACCTGCTGGACCATGCCACAAGTGCAAGGCCATGAAGGATTCCTTCTCCTGCACAGTCTCATGGGGAAATACCCAACACAATGAAAACAGCAGCAAATATTCAATTTACATTTGCAGACCATTGAGAAGAAACACATTTGATTGTCATTGTTTTCATATCCTACAGGTTACCCACCTTACTGCAAGTGAAAAGGACTGAAAAGAAATCAAGCAAAAGGAATCAAAGCATCTGTTACACAGAGTTATGAAGAGTTTCTTACCTCGGGCAGCGACTTTTCCATGGTTTGCTTTCAACAGCTGCAGTTTTTCTGCTTGACTCACTAGTGAAGAAATAAATCCAAAATCAACAAATGTTGCCCCAGAGCTTTCAAAGAAAATAATACCTCTGCTGCCTCCTTCACTTTCAAAGCATTTCAAGGGAAAAAAAAAACCTCTTGCCTATGTAACTGCTCAAAAAATTAACAAGAATTTTCAGAATTCAGAGAATTCTGACAAGTTTTGCCTCCAAGCCTCATCCCACATTTTGTTCCAATGTTTTGTTTTGTTTTTTTTCTAGTGCTGCCATGGTTCCTAACTCAGAGATGGGGGAAGGATGCAGGATGGGAGTGGGCACAGGAGTGGCAGTAAGAGGTCTGAGCTGTCCTTTGGGCTGGCTGCCTGGCTGCCTGTCTGTCTGTCCCACCCCAGTGAAACCCAGACTGTGCCCAGGTAACTCCAAGGTGGCCCAGAAAGGATGTGGCACTACAGTGGGAACAGGGCAGGGCATGGCCATGCAGGAGGAGAATGGAATGAGCTTTGGAATCCAAGCCAGGGAAGAAATGGGGACTGAGCCACCAGCGTGTGATGCTTCCATTGCACTGGGGCTGGCAAGAAATCTTCTCTGGTACCCGTGGCTCTACTGCCCACCTGCTCCCAACTGCAAAAAGCAGCATCCAGGCTCCCAAGGTTTGCTCTCTGGGCTGCTTTGGAAAAGCATTTCAGATGTGGCAGCTGTGAAGTGCCCTCATCCCAACAGGACAAGCATCTGGAATGTCCATCATTTCAGGACACATGAATAGAGATTTTTAAAGCCTGGAAATTTATATTCAGCCTAATCCTGCTGACAGGCAAACAAACAAACAAACCAACCAACTTCCTCGGAAGGGGAGAAGAAAGGCCGAGCAATCCAAGTGCAAACGTTCAGCCTAATCCCCACCTAAGCACCCACTAAGTATCTAACTATTTACTGAGCATTTCCATAAGAAAAGGTGTTGCTTTTCCAGGCTTGCCCTCCCCGTGTGCTTTTATGTCCCTGCTGGATGCACAGGGACACTTGAAGTGCATTTTCCTGAGTGCTGGGGAGCACCAAAGGGAACATCTGGAGTG